TGTGTATATATATATATATATATATATATATATATATATATATATATGTCATGTGTATATATGTGTATATATATATATATATATATATATATATATAAAAGCAGGATGTGTGTGTGTATGTAACGAATGCACAATTTTCGACGGATTTGCACCAAAATTTACATGCACATGTTCCAAGTTAAAGGAAAGGACAAGACCGACATTGCATTTCCCAACTCCCATCGATAGTCGAAATAATCGATTTTTTCATACTTCTACGGCATTTATCATGTAGTTTGCGGCCATTTTGTACTGGTCAGAGTGAGAGCTTATAGCTGGCTGCCACGAATAGGCAGGAAGATTCTATTGGCCAACGTGAGAGCCAACAGCTGACTCACACGAATGTTAACTAGCATGCTAGCATGCAAAAAAAATCGATAGCTGCATTCGTCACAAGTGGGAAAAATTTAAATCTGCATGGCACTTACTCCAATTGGCTCATTTGCTTGCTTAAACTCAACGTTGATTCTGATTCTGCAGAACTGGGTTGGGTATGAAAAAGTATTTGTTGTTAACATTCTTTTTTAATTTTTCCAGTTACGAGTCCTTTTTTTAAAGCTGATCGTTTTGTGTTCATTTTGTTTAGTTCTTTTTTCGTAACATATTTAATGTTTAGTATAGAGCTTAGAAAAAATTTGCAGTGTGAGATAGGCAAGAAGTAAGGTATGTAGCAACATCAGCACGGCAAAGGGCACTCCTTTAAAGGCAAGGAAGGGCAAAAATATTTTAAGTCAAGTGATAGCGTTTGCTGTATGAGTTGTACGATTTTTGAATCAAGAGACCAGCAACGCTGCTAGTGTCTGTGTATATATATATGTGTGTGTGTGTGTGTGTGTGTGTGTGTGTGTGTGTCTATGCGCAGAATTAGCCGGCAATTGTTCTTTTAAACATATTAAAATTTATAATATATTTATGTCTATTAACTTTAACCATCTTCCTTTCTAAATTGCAAATAATGTCTTGTCAATGTGACTGATGAAGATAAATATGTTTTCCAAACTCAGTGTTGTATCTGATCTTTCGACTCACATCAGTTATCATCAGTTGTTTGTACCAGTAAGGTGGAGAAAATTGATTTTTTTAATCTGGTACATTTTAAAGTGCCTTTATATTTTTTTAAAATTCAATCATATAAATCCAAAAGCAGACAGTTTTTTTATGGCTACATTAACGTATATCGGACATGTGTATGTGTATGTGTTTATAGTCAACGACGAAATTATTCGTACACCGATGATTTTGAATATTTTTATCTATTTCTCAGAATCTAATGTGCGTGTGATGCCAGGTTTTTTTATATATAAATAAGCACGAAAAAAAGAATACAAGACTCAATTTCCAGAAGAATAGATTAAATACAACACATTTGGCAGGCGAATTATGCAAAATACGAAAAGATAAAATTATTCGTACAGTAGAAAATATCGTTTTAAATTTGATATCAGTGAAGTCTTTTAGACTATTTATTCAGTAGAATATTTGTGATAATTCCAGCAAAGAACATGATGTAGTGCATAGTGTCGCCATTGTTAATTCTTACATTAACAACACGATGGAGAAGACAAAGGTGCTTAGCGCTGATTTAAGACAAATAACTTCCGCAAGTCGGGAAATAATTAAAGCACTATTTCAAACCGGTTAGCTATCCCTAGATCTACGGTAAAGTCCATTATAGAGAAGTTTAAATAGTTTGGCACGACAGAGAATTTGCCTGGGCGTGGAAGAAAATCCAAATTATCACCGAGAACTGCACGAAAACTTTGTCAATATAAACCCAAGAGTTGTTTTGAAAGACATCGCCAAAAGTTTGGATACGATGAGTATCAGCGTAAGTACTCGCACAATACAACGTTGTTTAAATAGAAATGGCTTGCATGGAAACCGACCACGACGAATCCCTCTTCACAAACCATGTCACATTGTTGCTCGGTTTAATTTTGCCAAAATGTTATTGAACAAAGACAAATTGATTTCGGGAACAAGTACTGTGGAGTAATGAAACAAAAATTGAAATTTTTCGACATAATGATGTACAGAATGTTTAGCGCAAGAAAGGTGAAGCTTTCCTCCAAAAGAACACAGTGGCAACATTAAAACATGGAAGCGGCTCGAAGATGTTTTTCGGTTGTTTTAGCTCAAGGAGGACTGGACAATTAATTGCAATAAGAGGAATAATCGAATCTGCAGACTGTATCAACATTCTGGATGAAATTCTAGAACTATCAGCGTAAAATCTACATCAAGATAAGCGAATTACATTCTAGCAAGATAATGATCCCAAACATACCTGCGTGCCTTCAGAAAAAGAAGATCAAAGTTTTGTCAGGAGTCCTAACTTGGATCCTATTGAAAATCTATGGCAAGAATTGAAACTTCAAATAAATCGTTGGTCACCAAAAACCTTCAGAAATTAGAATGTGTAACCATTGAAGAATGGGAGAAAATTCCAGAAAAGAATTTTTCAAATTTCATCAAAAACTTTAGAAAACGATTGCAGCAAGTTATAAAGATGAGAGGTCATGCTATTTCTATTAATATTGCGAAAATTGGTCAAATTTTTCTATTTTTCATACTGTACAAATACTTCTGTCTTTTCTTATTTTGCATAATTCGCCTGTCAAATTTGTTGTATTTAACCTATTTTTCTGAAAATTAATTAACTTTTTTTGTGCTAATTAACATATAAAAAAAGTTGCATCATATGGACATTAGATTCTAAGAAATGGATAAAAATATTCAAATCGATGATTGTACGAATAATTTCGTCGTTGACTTTATATTTAAACTTTTTCGTACTCTGTTTTATTCTTGGACTTAATATAAAGAATTGTCTTTGTCTACATTGTTGTCTTTCCATTGTTGTGCAATATTTGAAATTATTCTTTTATTTTTAGGTCCATGGAATTGTCAATGACACCATCGATTTTGTCAAAGGTATCTTGACAACCGAAATCAACAGCGCTGGCGACAATCCTGTATCCTTTTTATTAACAACTAAATACATGTTGTCTCTACACGCCCCTAACGATATTTTTTTTTATTTTTCTGTATAAGATGTTACACACAGATAACATCCAAATTGGCTGAAAACTGTTATTTTAAATCTAGTTTTATATCCGTCTTTTACCATCTATGAACAGTAAAGAATCTTGTCTAGTTCGTGAATTTTTGATTTTCCGTTATTGGTGTCTCTTTCCCCATAACATTTTCGAACACTCGAGTCTACGACATTTTTTTTTTCTGTCTGAATTTATCAAACGATGTCCATTGGATATTTTGAACAAATCGAGTTTTTTTTTTTTTTTTTTCTCGGTCTTTCTTGTTTCTTTTTTTTTTTCTCTTCACGATTTTCTTGTCTTTTTCCCTCCTTTTCTTTCTTTTCACTTTTTCTCTCCCTTTTCTTTCTTTTCGCTTTTTCTCTCCCTTTACTTTCTTTTCACTTTTTCTCTCCCTTTTCTTTCTTTTCGCTTTTTTTCTCCCTTTTCTTTCTTTTCGCTTTTTCTCTCCCTTTTCTTTCTTTTCACTTTTTTTCTCCCTTTTCTTTCTTTTCAATTTTCTCTCCCTTTTCTTTCTTTTCCTTTTCTCTCCTTTTCTTTCTTTTTTTCACCTTTTTTCCCTTTTCTTTCTTTTCACTTTTTTTCTCCCTTTTCTTTCTTTTCGCTTTTTTCCCTTTTCTTTCTTTTCACTTTTTCTCTCCCTTTTCTTTCTTTTCGCTTTTTCTCTCCCTTTTCTTTCTTTTACCTTTTTTTCTCCCTTTTCTTTCTTTTCACTTTTTCTCTCCCTTTTCTTTCTTTCTTTTTGTTTATGCTTTTTCTTTCTATCTTTTTCTTTTACTCTTTTTTTCTTTTTTCTCTTTTTAGTTTTCAGATTTATCTTTTTTCTATTCTCTTTTCTTTTTTCTCTTCTTTTTTCCCTTTTTTGTTTTCTCTTTTTCTTTTGTTCTCTCTTTTTCCCTCATTTTTCTATTCTTTTTGTTTTTCTCTTCTCTTTTTTCTTTACCCTTTTTTTTTTTTTTTTTTTTTTTTTTTTTTAGAGAAGAACACGTCTAACCCTACTAAATTTATTTAAAATGTATTTGAAGCTAGAAAATCTCTTTAGATTGTAATGTTATGATATGAAGGAAAGAATTCGCGTTACTAATTGCATGCTGGTAGAACGAAAAAAGACACAACGAAAGGTTAAAAGCAACAAAAACACAATTGAAAAATCAGAGTAGATGTCTCTCGTTTAAAAAAAAAAGAGATAAGTGAAGTTGTAAAAGCATCCGGTGAGCTGTATTGCTGGGGTGACGGAGTTCACAAGCAGGTCGAATCTGGTATCTTTGGAGGTGGGAGGTTACTTTTTTTCAAATGTGTTAACTCGGGTCAAGATGCTGTCCAACTGCTAAATGTACCTCTGATGGGCTTTTATGTCCTTTTGAGGCTCAAATTGGCACCAGTTTTCATTTTGTTTCTTTAGGCAAGAGTGAGTGCTATTCGGTGAAAATTTTAGCTTGTATAACTTTTTTGGAGTGAGTAAACGTAAAATATGTGTGAAGCTTTGTACAAATGATGGAGTTTTAGTTGAGTTTTGAATGTTCGGTCGGTGGTGGAAATTAGTGTGGCGGGAATCAGAAGATCTGAATTTGGGAAGAATGTAGCAGTAATTTTTTTTTTTTTTAAATAATGGTTTAGTGATACAAGTTTACTAACTAAGCCACAGTTGGGGGTGGGGAAAAGAGCTGAATTCATATCTTTTCCAAGTGCATTTGCCCGAGAGTGAAGATAACAAAACTAATGGTAATTGGAACTCGGGTCTTCGATTCCCAATTCTGAACCATTATACACTACACCACCCGTACATTCAAGCTTACAGAATCTGGTATACCGAAACGGTCACCCATCTAGGTACTGACAAGGCTCAACATTGTTTAACTTCGGTGATTGTATGGATATCGGTGTTTCAACGGGATATGGCCGTAAGCCTGTCAACAGCTCAATAACTGAAAAAAAACGTATTATATATATATATATATATATATATATATATATATATATATATATATATATATATATATATATATATATATATATATATATATATAAACACATCTTTCACAATACAGAGTTCATAAGCAGAAGTTCCGAGAAGCTATATTAGTCATAATTAATCTAGTCCATTTTGATGACAACGCCTACTAGTAATAATAATAGTAATAACAATAATGCTGGTGTTAGTAGTAGTAGTAATAATAATAATGGTTAAACAGTTATAATAGTGATGGTTATAGTATTAGTAGTAATAGTCGTGGTAGTAATGTTAGAAGTAATAATAATAAGTGATAGTAGTAATAATAAGGGTGCTGCTAGTAGTAGTAATAGTTCTAGTATTAGTAATAATAGTGATATTAGTGGTAGTAATAACCATGGTAATAATAATAGTGCTAGTAGCAGTATTAATAATAATAATAATCGCAGTAGTAATCATGTGATAGGATTTTAATTACCATTGTTGCAGGTGGTGTGATATGAAATGTTATTGTCTGCGGAAATGTGTGTGCATCGTTATTTTGCCATGACATTTATTTTCAAGATGGTTTTTGCCGAAAAAGGAGAGATTATTTCAGGTGGAAACTTTCATGGAGAATACCAGGCAAAGGTAAAAAATTATTCCAAATCGTTATTTTTGTTTTGTTTTACTTTTGTTTTTACCACAACGTTTCGACCTTCTCCATGTGTAAAATCCTTACTACTTACTGTAATTTAGAGAAGACCAACTTTCATTCCAAGAGTTCTTCAGACAACCGAATAATAATAATAATATCTCCGACACTGCTCGCCTTTTATAGTTCGGTCTTTACCTGCCCCATCTTTAGCCCCACCTCCCAAAAAGTGGTATTCTTGGCGTCGTCACTTGGAGATGTTTTTGATCTTCACCGTCATCGCACGGCAATATCAGCAAACCGGCAAACGTGGGATCACATTCTACGGCTGTGGCTCCCAAACCTTTTTTTTTTCTCTCTGGGCCACATTTTCACAATTAAAATTTGCTCACGCCTATTTTATGTGGTTAAAATACATATGCGAAGGCACCGACTTTGGGGAAGGGAAGTCCCGGTGAAAAGGCGCAAGCATCCCTACGGCAAAGAAGACCCAGAGGAAAGGTTAAAGGGAGATAACCACGGATTCGAAATCGGAAATTATCATTGATAACTCTCTCCTCCAATTTGCGCACCCTAGTTACTCTATTCTTAATACTTGATATGATGCAAACATATCACAATGATAAAATCGGTCAATAATGATTTATAACTATTTATACTGGGACTCATGCATACATTTAAAAGTAATCCATGAGAATATTTTAAGTTTTGAAATCATATTTAGTTTTGGCTTATGAACTTTTAAAAATTGTTTCTAAATCTTTGATCGTCTTTCAATCATTCTGCCTCACCTGCTATCCTCTTCCGCCTCACTGTTCTACCGGGATTCCACCCAGTGGTCGTTGTGATTCCACTGAAATTTCAGTTGTGAAATCACTGCGGCCGTGGTAACTTTTTTTGTCTTTGCTAAAAAAACAAATTTCAAAGGACAAAGCAACAAGCTCTCTTGATAACTAACAACGACTTTAATGAAAACAAATTGAAAAATTTAAATGCACATAATGAGCAAAGATTCGTACCTTGTGTTTCTTTGTAACTGGTTGGCGATCTTTTAACAGGAAAATTATTCTAGCAATAAATTGTAATTATTTAAGTACCTTGGTCCTGTCACTGTATTATCGACTATCAGGGCTTGTATCTTAGGGTTCATTAGTAACAGAATCAATGGCATCAGCGGGAAGAATAACGGTTCATACAGACCAGTCGACTTTTCATCTTCTCTCTGTCTGATTCGATCTGTTTCTTTGGCTTTCGCTCATCTCTGGCTTTGATTTAGTGATTTTTTTTTTCCATAAGATATTCGGGATCTTTCTTTGTTCAATAGTGTAAATAATGATAACAGCTCATCTCAGGAATTCAAATAGAAATTAAACACTTCAAACGCTTCAGAGTATAGACCCATTATAACACAACGGGTCATACTTGCTCTACATAGACACGTTATACCTTTTTTTTCTGCTTGTTATAATGGGTCTATACTCTGAGGCGTTTAAAGTGTTTTATTCTAATATATATCTACACGGACGGATAGACAGAATTTGCCGTTTATTTAGATAGAAGTTATTAATGTCGTCGCAGCAGTAGTACATTTTATAAGATTCCCTTTCAGGGCCTAGACGATTGTATTTCTCCACAGTTTTCTTTTTTATTGCCATGTCTTCTTGTGAAAGATAGTGGTTTCTCACATGTCTTCTTCACCGACGAATTCAGTTGTCCTCCTTGCTACCAACCAAGGCTAGATAGTCAGTCTACTCTGCTATTTAACCTATAGCTGGGGAGAAGAAATAGGTTCATGATATTCTTAATTGTACGAAAGTGAACGCAAACAGATTAAGCTGGAATTCGAACTCGGCTCGCTGATTATACTTTCTGCGCCGATAACTGTTATGTCACCCGCACATGAAACACTGTCTTTTTTTTTTTAACATTGAATCTTTCAGGCACTGGATTATTTAGCCATCGCTATTCACGAGCTGGCCAATATGAGCGAACGGCGTATTGAAAGATTAGTTAATCCTGGTAAGTTCTATCTTATACCCTGCTTCTTTTGCAATTACAATTTTGTTTTCAGTTTTGTACTTCTCGCTCTCTATTCGTACGAAAAATTGCTTTCTTTTTTTTTCTTTTCTCTTCTCAAACAGCTCTCAGTAATTTGCCGGCATTCCTCACCAAAGATGGGGGATTGAACTCTGGTTTTATGTTAGCACATTGCACAGCGGCCGCACTGGGTGAGTTGAATTCAAGCGAAATACACTGTAACCCGGATATAAGAGAGTTGTCGGGACCGGAGAAGAAGTCTCTTATATCCGGGTTTGGTCTAATTTATATACATTAACACAGGCTCTAATTTGGGACCAGAGAAAATCTCTCTTATATCCGGGTTTCTCTTATATCCGAGTTACACTGTATAAAGATATCATTTATGTAGCAGTGTTTGTCAACCTAATTTACTTAAGAGTACACTTATACAGGGTGCTTCACAAAAAAAAAAAACACACACACACACAGGAAATTTGGTAGAGTTTATTTAATTGTTGGAATTTTTGTTACAGTTATTTGAAACAAAGGCAAAGGATATAAATTTAGTTGCTTAAAACAGAACAAAAACATAAATATTAGATGTGGTCTTCAAACAAAAGAACTCTGGCAAAATTTCTTGGTATTTTTTTCAGTCCCCAAGTTGGATGTTCTTTCTTAAAGAGAACAATCAACTCGCATTGAAAATTTGATAACTGCAGCATCCTGCAACAACAAATGTTTAAAAAATTTATATTTTTTTAAATCTTTTTAGTTCATTCAGATATTAAAATATTTAGTTAATTTTTTTATAAGTTGCTTTCATCATATAGTAAATCTAAACTTTTCTGTTTTTTGTCGGGCACCCTGTATTAATGCCATAATATCTAGCTATCTTACTATCAACGGTTTGTACTATGCTTCAAATGAAAAAAATAAAATCAAGTTTCAACCACTTAAAATGATCAAAAGGGGAAAACGAGTAATTAAGCTTTAGACAACATTCCTGTTTTTCAGTTTCTATTTCATCTCAATTCTTTGTTCCGTTTAATTTCACCTACTTTTCTTTTCATTTTTTTTCTACTCTTCTTACTTACCCCCAGACTTTTCTTTCTAATCCCCTATTCTTCTTATTTATCCCCTTACTCTTCTTACTTATGCCATACTTTTCTTGCTAACCCCCGACTCTTCTTACTTACACCCGACTCTTCTTTCTTACCCAATACTTTTATTACTTATCCCCTACTCTTCTTACTTACCCCATACTTTTCTTCCTAATCCCCTACTCTTCATTTTTACCCCCTACTCTTCTTACTTATCCCCTACTTTTCTTACTTACCCCCGATACTTCTACTTTTCATTCCTCACAGACTGACATAAAAACAAGCTTTATACAAAGTGCCCTACAATACCCCCCACCAAAAAAACGCAGGAAATTTGGTAGAGTTTATTTAATTGTTGGAATTTTTGTTACAGGTATTTGAAACAAAATCAAAGGATAGAAATTTAGTTGCTTAAAACAGAACAAAAACATAAATATCAGATGTGGTCTTCAAACAAAAGAACTCTGGCAAAATTGCTTGGCATTTTTCCAGTCCCCAAGTTGGATGTTCTTCTGAATGAGAACAATCACTTCGCGTAAAAAAATTGATAACTGCAGCATTTTGGAACAGAAAAAAAAAGGTTAAAAAACTTATATGTTAATTTTTTGGGTTCATTCAATAGTAAAATTAAAATATTTTTGGTTCATTCAGATAACAAAATTAAAATATATAGTTAATTTTTTTTCATCATATATACCTGTAGAAAAACCGTTTTAAATTTTTCCTCGTAAACAATTTTGTCTGTCTGTCGCCGTGCAGCCAGTTCAACACAACAGTCTTTTATTTATTGTGCAAAATACGCAATTATGGCACAAGGCCAAAATGGGGAGGGTTTGAGGCTGGTCATCACTAACTATCTTATACCTAGCTAATCCTATTCACGACCCATTCATACATTACAATTTCCCCATTCACCACAAGAACTCGTCCGTCACCAATCAATCCTCAATACCTCATTTTTACTAGGGAGACCTACAAATATATATATATATATATATATATATATATATATAAATATATATATATATAAATGAAAACAGTCAACCTTCTTTTCCCTGTCGTTACGTTCTTCTCATTTTTATGTATCATTGGCAGCCCAAATTTGCATATGCGCAAAGATAATCTCGCGAGATAATATCTTACTCCGGGATCTAGCTATTTTAAATATGTAACCCGCGAGGCCGCTATTTCTTTCTTCTTT